ATATATATATAAGCTATATATTATATAAGGCAATATATAATTATATATACACACAATACACCCTTATATATACATACTATACATACTATATATACTATATATATTTATATAGCTATATATAAGCAATTTATATTAGTATATACATATATAATTTACAAGAAATTGCCTTAGATAAAAAAAAAATTTAAAAAAAATAGTCCGGAACGAAAAGCCCGTTAGGCCCGTGGGCCCGACCCATTTAGCCCGGGACCATGTGGGCTTAGGACCACCGTGGGCCGGTTCCACCCATTGGGACCGTGAAGACCGGGACCACCAAAGCCCGACCCGCCAAGGCCCGGGGCCGTTTAGGCCCGGGCCCGGCCCACAATACAGCCTTACCCCACATCGGGGTGAAGTGCTTCTAACAAAAGCAATTTCATACTCAAGTCCTTAACCCAAAACTTCCCAAAACCTCTAGTTAAGAATGAAAGAATACTTATAGCTTCACCACAATCCCTGTTTTAATTAACGTCGAATATGTTGTTGTTTCTGGTTAATAGTACTGCGACGAAAAGAAATCAAGATCATGATTCGGGTGTGTTTAGTAGGATGGAGAACGAAACCTCCTTTTAACTATCCAACACTAAAAATTTAGAAACTATTTCAAATACATGGGAAGAAAAACCTTAAGCAAACAAAAGTCTGTTTTTTCCCTTTTAATGAAAAATATTTTTTCAAGGAGAATAATTACTGTGTTTGGTTACCAAACAACGACTTATTTTCTGAAAACTATTTTTCAAAGAATGTTCTCGTTCATACCAAACGCACAATTAAGGGCCCAAAATATACAAGTTACAGAATGAAGAAGAAGAAGAGGAAAAAGGCCAGGGTCAATACTGAGTTCGACTTCTCATAAAAGAACTAGAACTCCCCATTAAGTTTGACTCTAGGTTAATTCCAGTTCCAACCAGATACTCACTAAGCTAATAAGACTAACTGCTCGTTTGGTACAAGGGATAATAAACCGATAATTAAATTTAAGATGAATTTATCCCATATTTAATTGAAATAAAATCGTGGTATGTTTAATCCTGAGATTATTTATCCCCGGATTGTAGTGTCATTTTTATCCCTATGGGAGGGTGGGATAACTAATCCCGGGATAATTAATCCTGAGATAACTTGTTTCCCAACCAAACAGCCCCTAAGTGTTCACCTGTATTCTGTTTGAGCGCAACTGTAACAAATTTGTCACTAACATACATTTGCAGTAATGCAATGTCTCTAGTAGTAAAAATCCCAAGTCAAATCAAAATGGTTAATTCATCACAGCTTACAAGTTAAGAATTTATGTGTTGTTTGCAAAATTTTCAAAACTATAACGTGCAAAGTGGCAGCAAAATCTCTACTTTGGTGAAGAGAACAACCTGAAGATAAAAATTACTAAGACAAACATCTTGGCTTTTGAACAACGTAGCCCACCTTAGCGAATGATGACATGCATCGACAAGAAGCTCGATCAGCAAGCAAAGTGCTGCATATCCAAATACGAAATAATATAAAAGAAGATCCTCATTTCACAAGTTTCCTCAAGACTGCTTCAGCTCGTTGTTCAAATTTGGGTAGCGCCCAGTCATGCTGAATAATATCTAATCCGTCCTTTTCTGCTCCCAAACTCTGCGGAAGAAAATTAACATCTGTAAAGCAAGATAGAATAGGAGGACAAGTGCAATTTGTTCACAAAACAGACAGCATCATATAATTATTTTCTTGCTCCTGCTTAGGCCGATTGATTTCAAATAGCTATCAGCCTAATATCCATTACCCAAGGTGCTACTCAGTGGAAACTAGACATATAAGGATACTCTTCTCTTTAAAAACTTGTCTAGTATAGACTCGATACCCTTCCCTTTAAAGACTTGTGAATAATGATGAATGCAAGCCAACAGGACCCCTCCCCCCTTTCCTTCTCCATCGACCAACTATTTCCTTTACTACTTTTTCGAAGTAATCACCTTTAATCAAAAGGAAACTAGTTTCAGGGTGGCAGGAAAATGCAAGGGAAAAGCCAAGGACAAAGAAGGCTGATATGAACTAAATATTTCTTGGTGCCAAAGGGAATTCTTTAAGAACCAAGCACAAATGCTAATATTTAAAGGTGAAAAGACTAGTGTTAGTTTTGCCTTGATTAACATAATGTTTGCAGAAAATCAAAGGAGAATTTTGATTATAAGCATATAGCCTAAGAGAATTTTACCTTGCTGGGGTCAAAACCAAATCCGCTCATCTGCATCATGCGTTGAGTATCATCGGTTGCTGCAGCAAATACAGATATAAATAATTTGAATTGGGAAAATCCCAAGTAACTGAATTGTTCTCCAAAATTACTGCTCTTCAATATATTCAAAAAGAGAAATCATTGCCCACAGCTTGATACCTACTTAAAGAAAAGAAACTACACAAACGTCTAAAAAAACTACTGACCATTTTCTTCTCCAAGAATGAGACTGAACAATCCCCTTAATCCAAACAGATTGAGGAAATACCTGAGCAGTTTCATAGCAAGTATTAGATACAAGTAGCTGCCTATTACAGAAACTAACTTAAAAAGCATTAGTTCTTTGGAAGATTAACATTAGTGCTAATGTTTACCATGAGCGACTGCTGACATAACTGACATCAACTGTGCTTAGATCAATGCCATTTTGCAACATGGTCCTGAACCTCTGAGTTAACGGAAAAGGTATCTTCGCTGAAGTATGAGACACCCAAATTTACGTGAGTTGGTACAAGGAAGAAAACATAATATAAAGCTTCACGAACTTCAAAGCTTAATGTACCTACACCTTTAAGAACTATAACAAGATAAAAGTGCACTCTGCAACCAAGATTTTACAATGAAAAGAAAATAAGGAATTCAAATTTTAGGAAAAGGAATACCAGCTACAAACCCAGAGAAGAAGAAGTTGACCCAGGCAAATGTAAGAGTCTGGCAAGATGGAGAATATGCAAGAAATTAGTCAGATCCACAAACTAAGATATCTTCAATAATCAATCGATTATTATGAAAACATGATACCTGAGGAATTATCATCGACAAGTTCTTCTTCATCATATCCATAGCCATGTTTGGGTCTGAGAACATTTGTGCCTGTGGATTCTGAGCTTGGCCCTTGGGAACATGTAGTAACCCGTTTTCCTGCATTTTCACGCGTAATATTTGTTAACTATTTGTTTCTAAGCAACCTGAGGCTTTCCATTAATGGATTCACACTAAAATACATGTTCTTACAGCTGGTACCATGTAATCCCTGACAAGTTATATTCTCAGGTTTATTTCTTCAAAAAACACCCTATATACCGACCTACTTAGTTATTCAAGTTGGATACTGATGGCATTCATCACTCAGACACTCCTGGTCACCAATCCAGTGCGTCCTTATTTATTTACTTCTTAAAGTTTGATTACTCATGTCATCCAAATGGGATACCTGCTTCACTATTTTATCTTTTATTAAAGGACTATATAGTAGTATCATTTTATAATGAAGTCCGCTTAAGAAAAAGTTGAATCTTCAGTTCCCTTTATTTGCCCAAACCCCTCCAAATCCATTGAAATGAGAGGGATGACAAGCGTCTATCGATATATTTTACGTATTGCATCGTGTTGATGTTCTTTTTAATATGTGATGCTGAATGATTTTTGTTTAGTAACTTAGAACTAGTAAACTAGTGATGTAAAAAATTACATCCCTTATATTTTAATAACTACTTTTAATCGATTAAAACCATAAAGAAGTTCACATAAATTTCTTTTAAAGGAAATTCTAGTTCTATACAAGTCATGTCCCCCGATTTTTTCAAGTTTTGCGTATGTGACTGTCTTTCTACCTGTCTCTTTGCACCAATTACAAATGAAATATTCAAGTACAGACAAATAAACGTCAGAGTTTGTACATAGAAACGCTTGTGATACATTAGTTGAACAAAACCATATGATGTTCACTCCACCAATTAACTATTACTAGCTCCTCATTCTTTTCAAGATCATGCCAATGGTATGGGTACGGAAATGCAAATCGAAAAGGCTTTCTTCCAGGCAATTAAAGCCAGTTAAAGAAACCTTGTAGCCACTAGGATGCTCATCAAGTAATATCCTCTCCCAAACAAGATTTGCATTCTTTTTTGGTTGGATAACCGAGAAATCCCCGAGGAACAAAAGTTCCATATTTCAATAGCCATTTTCCAATTATCATTCTAGTTCTATCATTTTTCACAACAAAATTTTACTTTTATCCTTAAGTACCTTATCATAATTCTTAGCAGTAATTAGCTAGTGTTCACTAGTAATCCAACTATTTGACCTCCCTGTTGTATAACTTTTCTGCATCATAACTACTGGGCTACCAAGAGACAAGTGCAGTAAAGTAAGCCTAAAACCGTCAATCAAAAAAGAAAAGGCCGAACCATGTCCAAACTGGCAGTTTTAACCTGTTCTGATACTCCCTCTGTCCCGTAAAAAGATAATCTTATACTTTCATGTGGTCCTTCCCAAAATGATGCCCATGCTCCTCAACTTATAGTATCATGTGGTCTTTCCCACTATTATCCTGACAACATCTCAAACTTATAAAAGGTTGACTTTATAACAAGTTTTTAATCAGTTTTCTTCAGAAAACACTACAATTCAAGCTTAACTCTTGATTTAGACACAAGCCAAACTACAACAATCAGATTAGGAGAAAGAGTGTGTTGAGTATCACATCTATGCATTTAAGAGGGTGTTGTAATAGCAAAAAAAATAAAAAATCAGTGTGAACTTATCATCGTCAACCCCATAGCCCAGAAACCCAAAGGGCACCTGGATACTTTCCCCAACCATCTTGCTCCAGTTTTTACCAGCATCCCCTTTACTACTCTCTTCAGATTTCTGTCTCTCTGTCTCTTCCCACGCCCTCGTCTTCACTAAGTTATCAAAGTTTCAAATCATCTAACTAATCATCGCCTTAAAAGTTTTCTTTTCACCCATCAATTATCTCTGACACCTCACCACCGTTATATCTTTGATCTAATCATATTTTCTTCATCATAAGAAAAATTACCTACCAACTTTTTATTCCTTCGAGTTTAATTATGAAATCCAACAGCTCATACAGTAAAGCATACTAGAAATTAAGCATCAATCACATTAAAAAGTAACTAGATACATTTTTAATCTCACATACTTCAATCAAAGCAAGTTCTAAGCACTGACAGTGTAAAATATATTTATGCAATCAGGTCATTTAAAAGGTAATTGTAGGTAATCTGTTTAATAGCATTGGTTTGTTACCTAGACTATAAATGGTAAGTAATCTGCTATTATAGGTTAAATTATTCAGTTCATTAAATTGTTATCGTATATAACTTAAATCCAATATCAATATAAAAGAATCTTTTTTTCTTCATAATGTGAACATTAACAAGCAAGCAAACTTTTAAAAAAAAAATCGTTAAGTACAATGATTTACTAAACAAAAGAGCCACCAAACCTCATTGCTGTAATAAACTTTCCTCGCGCGAAACGATTTAGCTGGAATATAATTAGCCCCGGCTCTCAAATTCCTTGCCCTAATTATCACTTGCCTGAAATTAAAATCCTCAAAATCAAAATTCCAAATAAATAACATAATTACTTAAAACCTAATAAAAAGAGGATAGAAAAGAACCCTTCTTTGATGATTTTAGGATCAGGTTGAGTAGAAGAACGCATAAGCTTTGAGACAAAGTAACGGAGGATTCCAATTAGGACCATAACAACTGAGAGCGGGATTAATACCCAGTCTCTAATTGCTGTGTCCAATACCAAATCTTCTGCCATTTTTTTTGAATCTGGTGTTTGTGATTGGAATCGGAATTCTGCTTTGGATCTTTCTTTCCTCAGCTACTTTGGTTTTGTAGTGAGGTAGTAGTAGAGGAGAGAATACAATGATGTTGTAGTTCGTATCTTAATGGGCCTTAGTCGGATATGCAAGGGAAATATTTTTAGAAATAGCCTCATTTATAATTGGTAATTGAAAAACAGCCATAAAAGTAATTGAAATTTAGTTATTTTTTTATTTAAAATAATATACAAAAATATCCTTAAAAGTTTGGAAATTCTCCAGCATAATATGCTGAAGTTCGAATTTATTACATATGAGATTCCAGCATAATATGTTAGAATTTCATAATATGCTGGAGTTCCAACATAATATGCTGAAAGTTTATATGCATGAGTTCCAAAATGGAACTTTTTGGATTTCAGCTAGGGTATTTTTTTAGATTTTATCTTCGTATAAAATAGTGACTATTTTTCAATGACTTTACAAACGCTGGCTATTTTTCGATTATCAGTCTGAAATTGGCTAGCCCATACTATTTTCACGATGCACAATGTCCAACGTGTATCTTCATAAGATAGGAATAAGGTCCACATACACACTACCCTTCACAGATCTCACTTATAGGATTACGTTGTTGTACAGTGTCCAACGTGCAGAAAATGGCTCTAGCTAGCCGCTTGTGATAGCACGGTTTAAAATACAGCCGTTTTAAAAATTATTTAAAATTTAGTCAATGTTGGCAAATTTCAGACCTGCCTTGTTGTTACTCCTCCGCTTTCTTCTTTTTTGCAACTTCACACAAATACTTGTATGGTTTATACTTTATATATAGAGTCTATTTGATGAGTTTCTGCATTAAGTGTGCATAATCTAAAAGGGATTTTTATTTATGTGATTTTAAAATTTGAGAAACTTTCAGAAACTACGATGTTTTAGTGCTTATTAGCTAGTTGTAGCTATCATTTACTATATTATTTCATATATCTATGTTTTCAAGTTTTTAGAGTGTATTGGATGTATTTAAGCTATTGTATTCATAAATACAGTAGCATTTCTCGGCGTGAAACAAGGGATTATAGCTAGACAGATTATTGTATTCGACTGTATTCACGGCGTGAAACAGGGGATAACAGCTAGACAGATTATTATATTCGATTGTATTCACGATATGTATTGTGAATACAGTAACGTAAATAGCGAAATTTATGGTCTATTCAGTTGTTTTTAAACGGAAAGTGAATCAATTAACATAATAGACTCCTCATATAACTCAACAAACTCAATTATAAATCTGAATACATAAATACATCTGAATACATAAATTATATTAATTAAAAAAACATATGAATACATTCATGGAATATAGCGAGACGGTGATTACAATGAAATACATGAAATACAACGAGATACATTGAAATACAATGAAAAATAAATAATGAAATACATAGAATACTGATAATAGGCTATAATTACGTATTTTAGTCTCTTATTACACTCTAATTTACTTTAATTGAGTTTGAGCTTTAATCGCTAGTTTTTTGCACTAATTATGTGTTTTATGCCTTGTAGGAGTGATTCCGAGCTATGTAGATATTATGGAATGAATTCAAGTGATTTGGAGCTTTGAAGTCTGAGTAAAAGCCCAAGGAATTAAGCCGGAATCATGTTGGGGGATCAACAGATGATAGTTAAAAACGAAACGAAGAATCGAGCGGGCATACAGTGCATTGTCTAGTAAATTGCACATAACTTTTCACTCAGAACTCCGTTTGGGCTCCACAATATATCGTTGGAAAGTTATTTGAAAGGTCTACAACTTTTATGTTTTGCATTTTCGCAAATTCCCACTACCGAGGTGGTGTGGCGCGAAATGCGCCGCGCCTGTGGAAATTTCCTACAGCTTGTTAGAATCAGCAATCTGAACTTTCCCACTGCTGCACCACATGGTGCGGTGCGGTAGTGCAAATTTTATAGAGTGGTTGTCCTATTTTGCAAGGGAGAATGTATTTTCGTCTGGGCTCGACCCGACTTGGTATAAATATATGTAAAAACGCTATTTTGAGGAGGTTGGACATACTTTTGACACAGATTCGATCTAAGGAGATAGAGACACAATAGGAGCAAGGCGAGGAATTCTTCTACGAGTTTTTCCTTCCTCTTCCTATTTTTTATTGTTGGTTAGGACTTTTAGTATTGTAGTTTTACATATTATTATGAATAGCTAATTTGTTATTTAAGGTTTTGATAAAACCTTTTGTAGGATAAATTTTTATTATGTTTTTATATAATTGAGCCATAGTATAATCTCTATTTGTTCAACTATGTTCTAGTTGTAGTTAATTGATAGGATCCTCAATTAGCTGTGCCTATTTAGTATGTATTACTTGGGAGCGAGTGCATATTTAGGTAGTTGTTGAACAACATCACTCCCGACGTATGTGAGGAATCAATAACCAAGGATTTAAAGGTGGGATTAGGGATAACGAAACCTTGTGTGCGATCTAAATGAGCTGTAATTAAAGCCAGCTAGCGTAACTTGGGAGAGTATGTCTAGTAAATTGTCATAATTATTCGGGAGAGAATTATAACACGCAGTGCGCTCATGATCGGTAAAGAATTCTTAGGCGAAATTATAGAAGACATAGCGGGAAGAATTCCGACAATTGGGGAAATCATAACTCTAGACCTCCTTAATCTTTTCTCCAATATATAGTATCTTTAGTGTTAATTTATTATTTTAATTTGTTAGTTATTTAGTTAAAAACTAAAATCTAAATATCTTTAAGTTTGGAATTGCTCAAGCTTATTTTCTTAGCAATATTGAACAGTTGTAACTAAGCATTAGTTTTCTGTGGGATTCGACTTCGGACTTGTAAACCGGATTATATTTGCAACGACCGCTTAGTCTTTTTTATAAGGCATAGTTGGGCGTGATCAAATTTTGGCGTTGTTGCCGTGGAACTAACGGTGTAGTTGTAGGTTTACATATTGCTAGGTTTCAAGTTTGAACTTTTATTTTATTTTTTTTAGTATTTGATTTTTTTTATTTTTTTATTTTAGTTTTATTTGTTTATTTGAGAAACATGGCATCATGGAATTATGAGAATTTTGATGTTGGTAATTCTACTTTTAATCCTCCTTATGCATATTGTGAAGGAAACCACCCAAGGCAAAATTATCAAAATATTCCCGAGAGCGAGTTTTGTGCACCAACTCAATCTTATGTGTGGAATGTGTGTGATATGTGTGGTGGTCAAGATGGTCACTTTCACGGTTGTGCTTATATTTCTTACCTTCCCCTAACCCCTTACTTTGATGGTTCTTCTTTTCTGGTGAAGTTAATAGGAACAAAGAACCCAGGGAAGCTGACCTAAAGAAGATCGAAGATATGTTAAAGTGCATTTTGGAACAACATAGTAAATTACAACTGCAGATAGAAAGGCAGGAGGAAACTATTCACAACTTGAAAGTTCACATGAGTCAACTGGTTGAGTTTTTAATGCTCAACAAGCCAATATTGTGAATAGTATCAAAGAAAAGCATGAATTAGATACAAAAATTGAGGAGCTAGAGGAGAAGGCCAAAGTAAAACACCAACAATCAATCGAACTAGATTTTGAGAATGCCGATGTCGTAGAAGAGATACTAGAGTCAACCAAGGATATTGAGGATACATATTTTGTTGACTCTATTGTCATTTGTGTTGAGAATGTAGACAGTCCCAATGTTCATGTAGTTGAGCGCATTGGTCCACACTCCAAGCATTTTTTCATATGTTGTTTGGATGATGATATGGAAATAGAGTCGTCTGAGCCACTTGAGGAGTTAAGGAATGAGGAACAAGGTGCTTACATTCTGGAATTCTTCTTGCTGGAAAGTCGGGATTACACACCTCATCCAAAGGCCAAAAGTGCAGAACACTACATTATTTTATTGGGCCAGTCAGATTCGTTCTACCACCCCAGGAGCATGATCACAGAGCAGAATCAAAACTTGGGGTAGGAGCCATTGTGTTGTGTTTTGAAATAAAACAATATCTCTTGACTTTGTTATGCCTTGAGAATAGTGAGTACTTTGGTTGTGACGCTTAGGCTCAGTTTTTGACTCTTGTATAAGTACCTTAAATTATATGATTTTAACTTTGCTTAACTACTTTGGCTAGAGTGTCTTGATGAATCCAATCCTAAGTGAGTTATGTGCCATGTGTGTGTAAGGTTTTGCGTTATTCAGTGCATTGCATTTGATGTCTAGAACTTGCCCCGTGCGTTTGCAAAGCGAAATAGTCGTTTTGTTCAGTCTTGGAAGTGATATCGGCGTTTCTTTGTTGAACCAGATATGTATATTTTACCCGCCTAATTGTTATGTATCATAGTTAACCCTTTTGAGCTTGTAATCCTGTTTCTTTGGCAACCACATTACAAGCCTTACCCATTTGTTTGAATTAACCATCTTTTTGAACCTTTTCACCTCTCATGAGCACTTGAATTGTTATGAACTTTGTAAAAGTTAAAGTGTGGGGTGGTTGGTTTGGCTTTTGAGTGGAACTAATGAAATAAGAAGAAAGGTGCATTGTTTTAAAAAAAGTAATAGCCACTTGAATTGAAAAAGAAAGAAAAGAAAAAAATAGTTGTATTGTTGTGAAGAATATTCCTTGTGGTGGTGACTTTTGATGTAATTGTACTTAAAGAAGTATGGAGTTAATATACATTGATGTGAAGGTGGAGTTTTGGTTTGATATAAGTGGGGTTTTAAATGTTAAATGTATGTATTAAAGTGCTTAGGAAGGTGTAGTCACTCTTATATCTAAATGTATTCTACCCATCCCTCAGCCTACATTACAACCAAATAAAGTCCTACTTGATCCTAGACTGAATAAGCTCGATTAGTAGAGTAGTACACTACGGGCAAGCCTATGGTGCATCTTTTGTGGCATATGAATGTTGTTTCTGAGAGTGAGTGAATTCTTTCTATCTTGAGTTCCTAATGGTTCTTAACTTTTATATTGTGTGGAACTACTCTCTTTTATTGTGTGAAGGCACTTGATTCATGAAGGAAAGGTAATATCAGTGACC